TGTGATGTAGCCCTAGCTTAACACCACTGGTTTGATTGTATTTATTTATTGGAGAACAATTATTATCATGCATGATTGTGTAATCTATAGGACTTTTAATTTAATTCAATTACAAATATTTTTCTATCTTGTCTTATATATTTGAATCTTCTGATTGAACACAACTTATTCACTTCTTGTAGTTGTGAATAAGATGATTACACAATGGTTTTTCTCTAAATATAATGTTAGAGATTTGATAGATTATGCCTAGAAAAGATAGACTATACTACACACTGGAGTAAAGTAGTTAGGTAGATGGTTTATATCAATCGAAGATATTCTATGCTTAGCTTTAAATTATATTATCTTCTAGCTAAATTAATATATGCTTGTAGCCATGATTGATAAGTGCTCAAATGTTGCACATTTTAGCACCTAAGTTAGGGTATTTTAGTTCATTCATCTATCTTACTTTCTCGTTTGAGTTCTAATTCTTGTTTTTGTCTATTTCAGGTCAATAAGATTCAAACGGGCTAAAAAGAGCCTGTTAGCTCCTTTTTGGAGTCAAGAAGAAAATCCGAAAAAAGTCAGAAAAAGTGCACTGGAGTAATCTCGATTGACCGAAGATTCCTCCACAATCGATCGAAGTCTTCTTGATCCATCAAAGCCGTCAGCATGACAGCTCAGCAAAGGATAAGGCCAACAGAAGATATTTCTTGCCACGTCATCTTTAATCGGTCGAAGTTATCTTCGATCCATCGAAGTCTTCTTCGATTAATTGAAGCCCCTGGCAGTAAGCTGTTTAATTCCCGAATGCATCCGAACTCCACCTAACTTTTGGCTGCGAGATTAGACCAATGAAATGGCTATTTTCTGACTTGTTGCCTACACAAATAGGCTTGTATTTAAATCAAATTAAACCATTTTTGTCGAGGTTTTCAATTTATTGTTTTAATTTACATTGTAATAATTTGATACTATCTCTTTAGAAAAGTTAGAGATTAGGTTTTTGGGAAAAGAAGAGAGTAGAGGCACCAAGAACATACTTGAAGATTTATACACTCTCTCTCTAGAATTCATTAAAGAAGAAGAGGAAGAAGATGGAGCCATGTTTGGAGATAGCCCTTGAGGATTCCATGACAATATCCACCTCCTTCATGATAAGCTAGGCTTCTCATTGGGGTTTGGATGAACCCCAAGCTTGTAAACTAAACCATTTCTCTTAACTTTTTGGGGAATTTATCTTGTGTTTAGTGTTATAGCTTTGTGTATAAAATAAATCTTGGTTTTATCTCTATGATTTCTATGGTTTATTTCTTCCTATTAATTCTCTAGATTAGTTACATGTCTATGTGTAATTAATTAAGAATTATATCTCTATGATTCATATGATTTAATTCTTTCTATTGATTCTCTTTGTAATTACATATTGTCTTATGTGTGATTATTTGAGAATTGATCTCTACACTAGTTTTTCTATGTTAATTGCATGTCTATGTGTGGTTGATTGAGAATCTAGTGATGGCTATGCATGGTTTTCAATGAATGGATTTGTCAATTAATTTGATGGATTATGTTTATGCCTGATGGGTTGTTCTACAATTTAATTCACGCTTGTAGGTAGATAAACAATATATGCTTGATTTGATATTCCATGGCTTATTGTTGCAAATTCCATAATTCTCTAAATTGATGTGTGCTACAATTGTTACTAATTTGATGGATCATGCTTAGAATTGAAGGGTTGTGCTATGCTTAGTTTACTTGTTTGTTAGGTAGACAATCCATGCTTAAATTTAATGGTTCATGCTTAATATAGCAATTGGTAGTCACATTTTATTCACAAGAATGTTTTTCCCCAATTAGTTGAAAGAATGTGGATTGGTGAATGAGCTTGATGGCGATTCCAACACCCCAAGACCTCTCTTCCTACCAATTAAACCCTATCTCAATTTAGTTGTTTTAATTGCATTCTAATTTCATTGCATCTTAGTTTAATCAACTAATCTCTCCTTGCAATCTTGTGATCCACTAGAGTTAAAGTTGAATTCCGACTACGTGTTTAATCCTTACGGACGATCCCTACTCGCTATGCTTCGTTAGTTGTAGTAGTGGTTTTATAAATGTAAATTTGACTTTTAACAAGGCTTCCAAAACCGCATTCATATTTTGACATTTTGAAGCAACCTCTCATAATACAAAGCTCGGTTTTTTAACACTTAGAAAAGGGTTGGTCAATGATTAATTCCCTATGCATGTTATATGTTATATCTATAATAAATTGATGCAATTGATTGGTGGTGCGACGTTAGTGGTGAAGTCATACCCCTAGTTCTATCTTTCTATTTTCTACATCTTATTTAATCATTATTCTTTATTTTATTTTTCTACTTAGTTCATTTAGAATAAATCATCACAATTTGGTTATCCTACTTTCAAGTTAATTTGGAACTTGAGAAATCTATTGACAAACTTAATTTATAGAAGTCCCTTGGGTATGACACTTTTACAAGTAAACCCTATCTGCAAAGATTCGTGCACTTGCGAGTGGTACATATAAATCTCATAACACCTACTTTTTTAGAATTTGACGTGTTAGCATATCGTGTTCGTGTTTACGCTTCTTAGCACCCCCATCAATTTTAGAAATCACCTATTTAGTGTGTGTATAGACTATATAGTATGAAAAAAAGAACAGTCTACTTGATACGAAATGAAAATGGTGTCTGTATCTTGTCTTTTTGCTATGCACTTGGTATTTTTTAGTGCTTGTCTATGTCCTCATTCAGAATAGAACCTTGGGTATTTTTGTGGAATTTCGAATTGGTCTTGCTGATTTATGTTGAAATTTTTGCACATTAGAATTGTTAGACTTGGTTTGGTACTCTAAAAGTCAAACCAAGAAGGGAAGGAAGGACAAAAATGGGTAAAGAAAAGTAGGGGGAAAGAAATGAATTATTGTATAGAAAAGTTTTATTGCTTTTTCTTACATCAACTAAAATTGGGCATGATCTATTTCGGATATGGCCTAGCGGTTTACTTGCTGGACTTTGGAGCTTAGAAAGTTTAAGGGCTGGGGTTCGAGTCCTGTTCGGTGTTCTTTGTGTTTAGCATCCTCTGCCCCTGCAGTGACTTACTCGTCTCGAGTGGGGAGGCGCTATTTCGGGTCCTCGAGAATTAGTCAGGTTGTTGAGGGGCCCGGACACCCCGTGTTAACTTTTTTTTTTTAAAAAAAGAAAAATGCGCTAGAACTGGAGCTAGGCAAAAGTTACAATTCTGACCATCGCTTGGTCCACTAGAAATTGAATTTATTTATTATTATTATTATTATTTTTTTGGGTAAGTACTGAAATTTAATTTGAATCCTGCATACTAATCCATAGAATTGCACTAAATAAGGGAGTTATTTTTTTTCATTAATAGAATTAGTTAATTTTTTTTCCTCCCTTTCTTGTTCTTGTCAGAAGGATATTGAAATCAATAATTGTATGCGCTTTTTTGAAATAATGTTACCTTCACTTCCACATAATTAATTAAAAAAAATAAAAATTGTAAGGTGTATAGTGGTTATGAAAAGTACAAAATTTACTTTCTTATGAAAATAATATATTCTTATTTTTTTTCGAGAAAAATTAATTGGTTTTGGAAAATTAATTTCCTAAAATTTTTTCCTTTTTCTACCATCCAAATTATTAAAAAATTAAAAAAAATTATATTTTCATCTAACCAAAATTCCGAACTAAGCCTTAGGACATTATATTAAGGCCAAAGAACACCAAAGTTCCAAACAAAGCCTTAGGACATTATATTAAGGGCTAACAACAATCCTATTTGGGCCGAGGTGACATGCTAATTCATGGATCCCAATTATGTTGATAAGTGAAAACATGTTGTTACATTTAAATGAAAGAGCAACCTGCTTAAGAGCATGAGCCACCCTATTTTCATTTATTGGGATGGCATAGAATTAAGCAATGTTAGGACACTTTACCATATTTTTTTAGATTATGCAAAAATAAGGGAGTGAGCACGAATTTAGCATAAAAAAACTAATAAAAAATCATTCGGCAATTCATTGTAAGTATTTAATAAATCGCAACTCATTTTTTTAATAAATCAGTATTATTAATATTAATACATGATGGTCGAACAAGGATCAACTCATTTTCAGCCCTATCATATCTCACTTGATAAGTCTTATTTATTTACAGTTATATAACTTATACGTAGGCTGCAAATGAATCGAGCTATTCATGATCAGCTCGGGCTCAGCTCGTTAAGGGCTTGGACAGGGCTCTTTCATTAAGTAAATGAGCTGAACTCAAGCTTGATTTTTAGGCTCATTTAATAAATGAGCCAAGCCCGAAAAGTGTTGAGCTTAACTCGTATAGGCTCGTTTAATGACACTTTCAAACCGACAGAAAAATCAACTTTGATGTGGCAATACATGAATGGCTGTTCCAAATCTCTCTCTTCACACATTAAATGCACTACATTTTTAGAGAAAAATACCCTTTCAATTTCTCATTTTCTTCGCCAAATATATATATATCTTTACAAAAATTCTTTTCCATTGAAAGACTCCAACAGCATTTTTTTCTTTTTTGTTATCTGAAAAATCATTAAATAAAAAAGAAGAAAGAAACATGAGGAACAAGAAAACCTGATAGTAAATATTAAGCCTATGGAAAAAAAAAAAGAAAAAAAAAGATACTAAATATTAAACACCCATTTAATCGAGGATGCATTATTACTTAATTGGGTAGAGAGAGAGAAAAGGATCTTTCCGGGATTTATTGTATTGTCTGGTTCTTTTCTTTGTATTGTTTGTTTATAAAGTAATTTTGATGATCGGTCAGAAAGAAATATTATTACAGTTTCATGGTGTTCTACGAGAAGACGTGGAGAGATGATGCATTATTACTTTATTTGGGTAGAGAGAGAAAATGATCTTCCAACTTTTGTTAGCAAACTATATTGATTCATATGTTTGAATTTTTAAGAAGTCCATACACTGACCATCCACGTAAAAGCCGTATCGATTTTTTTTAAGTCGGCTCTAAGAATAAACCCTACAGCTACATGGGACAGGTCAATATATTATCTTGACACAGCTCCTCATTATAATGACGCCGGAAGCCCTCACAAGCAACACAGCTCGATCAACTCCTCCAACATATAATCCGCCAGCATCCCTCCAAAAGCCACTCATCTCCTTCTTAAACGGATAACCTGGTAAGATATGATTTTATCTTGAAAATTTGTTTTTTATTTGTTTTTTTTTCTTCTTCTTCTTCGAGATTGAGATGTGATCTGAAATTAATTCTGCAACTTGTTCTTTACATCTTATTCAGTTCTTTTTTCGATTCTGCAATTAATTTTGAAACTCTGGGTATATTGAAAATTTCAGCAGAGGCACTGTTGTCAAATTCTTTGCCTTCTATGAAAAATTGTTGAAGTGCAGAAATATGCTCTCTGTTATGAGTTGGGAAGCAAATTTGGAGGGTGTATGTAAATGAGGTTGAGCTTTTCAAAATTTTATCAAATTTCAACTAGGCTCAGTTCAGCCCTACTTACACAGATATCAACAATAGCCGTCAATCATTTTTCAAAGAAAAAAAAAATACTGGTCAATTGGACTCATGTGATTTTAAACTTTCGGATATACAATACCTTTTTGACCTACATTTCAGATAAAGGAAAAAACTTTTTGACCAAACTATAAAAAGTTGGGTCAATCCATTAATATTAATGTGTATATATATATATAAAGATGAGAGGAAAAAGAAAAATAAACCCATTTCATGGCAATTTTAGGTTTATTTATAACCAAGCAGACCAAGTAAGTGAATCTCAAGGGCGGATGGTGGGTTCAAAAATAAATTTTTTTGCTATACTAATTTTTTACAATTAGGGTTGGACTTGAGTTGAAAAATCTCAACCCGAATTGAATTAGGGTTAGGCTTGGGTTAAAGTGCTAGCAACCCAAGCGAACCTGAATTATAATATTATTTTTACTTTAAAATATATTATATATAATATTTAAATTATGATTACCTTTTTTTTTTTCAACTTCCTTTGTTAATATCTTAACTTATTGTATATTAACATTTAGGAGACCTAATTTTCTAAGAATTTATTTGTAATTTATTAAAAATCTACAAAAAGTCTTTGAAGTTTTTTTTGTTTAAGACTAATTTAATCTAAAACTAATTCAAGATCATATTAAATTTTTGATGTAAAGATTAACCATATAAGTAACCCAAATTAACCCGAAGTTTTAATACGAAATCTAAGCCCGAATTTAAAAGGATGGGTTGGGCTCGCGTTGAGTAGTTAGGATTGAGAATAGGGTTAGGATTGGGCTTGGGTCTTGCATTTCATATGGTGGGTTGGGCTTAATATATACCTCAAACCCGCACGAATTGCAGCCCTAATTAGACCACCCTAATTAATCCACCATCAAGCCCAAGTCAACTCAGCCACCATACTAAAATAAAGCCCCAAGCCAAATAAGACCAGCGCCGGCCCTGATCCAAGGTGACAAAGGAGGCGACCTCAAAATTTATATGCCCATGGACGATGGGCCACCAGAAAAGAAAAAAAAAAAAATTAGGTCAAATCATTTCAGCCTCCCTAATTGCTTCCATCTCTCTTCTCGTTCTCAACTCTGAACTTGCCCCCTCTCTCTCTCTCTGTGCAACTGCAAACTACAAAATCTACAAGAATCAGAAGTTCAAAACCCATATATTTCAGTTTATCTAGCTGTCTGCAAGAATCAAAAGTTCAAAACCTATATCGGCATATCATTTCAGATTGTTCAAAAAATCAAAACCCATATCTTTTAGTTTCCATCGCCCACTGTTCCAGTTCGGGTTCGCTGTTCGCAAGCTTCAGCCGTTGGCCCGCTGTCTCTTTACTCTCAAGCTTGACCCCCTCTCTCTCTCTCCCTCCAACTGCTAACTTGTATGTATGGGTTTTGTTTTAATTTTTTTTTTTTTTCTAAATCAACTAATCAAGGTCTGTAATTCTTCTTTTGCAAACTAAATCCTTTTTGGTGAAATTTTTTATGATCTCTTTTATATAATTTTTTTTTTTTTTTACAATATAAAGTAACAAAATTTGCATTGCATTTTGAGGTAATCACCGTAATCTACACTCTATTTCAGCGAAACAAATATTTTATTTTATTTCTATAACTTATATTTTGGTTTTTATTTTATTTTATTTTATTCTTTATTTATTTATTTATTGTCGGTTATGTCTACAAGAAAATTTGAATCTGGGCATGAAAAAAGGAAAAAAAAGAATCTGAATTGGATTAGAAATATGCAGAGATTGAATCTGAAACAATTTTTTTCAACATGCCAAGCTTTTTGAAGATGGAAATCTTTTCAGAACTAAAAAAAATAATAACAAGAACTTTGACAAGCAAAAGGATAAGATATAGGGTAAAGCTCTAAAGTTACTTCTTGAAAATTAAAATACTTACAAAAAGCATGCTTTTGAGTGAACTCCATAGTGTTGGAAGGGGCTTGCCATGAACTACCTCACACTCTGCTTCCACTAGTAGATTCTCAAATAGGATTCGTAAATTGGTCAAAAGAAGAGATAGGGTACTGAGTGGTAAATTGTTCAGAAATAAATTAGTTATTTTTTTTTATTAATTACCCAAATAGGATTTTCTATGCCTTAATCAGTCAATTGTCTAAAGAAACATTGTTTGTTAACTAAAATTGAATTAAAAAACAGTTGATTTTGGTTGATATATTTTGGTTTAGCCCGCCCCATTGAGAAATCCTGGATGTTTTGTTTCACATAGAAATACAATCTGTGTAATGCACGAAGGATATATTCAATCTTTCTGTCATATTTTTATTTTCAAATTTTGGTTTTTGATTTTCTTTTGTTATTAGAATGCAGAATATCAGGATATTGATTTGTTAATTTTGAAGATTATTCCCAAACTGATGCATTGTACTTTGTTATTGGATTAATGTAACATAAGAGCTGAGTATAATATGTGTTAATCACACATATCCGTAATCACACCTCTTTCTACGGATAGGTGTCCAACATTTTGATTGAAAGCATAGTTGGGTTAGGTTGATACATGATATAGATAATACTTAGATGGTGGTGTTTTAATTGTTATGAGTGAGATTGTGAAACCTTTTCCTCACAACTTGAGTGTTTTCTTATTTTTAGGGTTACCATTGGGCCTTAACATTTAGCAAGAACAAGGTTCAAGAAACATGCCTCCTTAGTCATCAGGTAACAAACTCTTACTTTTTCTAAAATTTTAATTGCCATTTTTAGCTATTGGTTACATTTATTTTCAATTTCAGAATATATGTTTTACAAGTTTATTAACGCTTTTAAAACTTTTCCTCTTTTGTCCTAATAATATAGGTCTCTTTTCTGAAAGAAGAGAGTTGATGGGAATGGGTGGGGTAGGGGAAAAGAAAATAGGTATGTTTTTTTTGCTTAGCTAATTGAATTATATAAATCCCCTTACCGTTGTAGCAGTTATGTTGGTTTTAAAATGACCAATTATGATAGGAGGTCTCTTTTTAGTTTATCTTAATCAAATGTATATCTATGCAAGAGGATTACGTGATTCTGGATGACGATTCTAGATGAGGATGTTAATGTCAATGTTATGAGGATGTTGATGTCAACGTTGACTCTAGTGATGACGACTAATGATGTTGATAATATGTTGATGCACTCAAATTAAGTCAAAACACTTAGAATTGAAGGAAATTTAGAGTTGAAGACATACTATTGAGCATAGTGTCTAATTCTTTTAGTTACAAGAAGTTGATGAAAGCCCGATTTTTACCCCCTAATTACGAACAGGTTCTTTATCAGAAATATCAGTCCTACGCTGGTAAGTATAACGATTGCTAAATATGCTGAAGAATTTTATCGGTTTTCATCTCGTAACAACATGGTGGAACCTGAATTTAGCATGCTGGCCCGTTTCTAAGGCGAATTGCGATGGTATGTTGAAGAGAAAGTGGCGTTGCAACCACTATTCAAACTGTCTGAGATTGTCACGATAGCAGAGAGAGCAGAATCGTTACTGGAGAAGTCGAAGAATCGGTCTCGTTGGTTATATAATCCCCCATGTCCTACACATGACATGGGTAAGCAGACTGCAGTACCCCCTGTTCTAATGACATGGCGAGGCATTGGAAATGGGCCAACAAAGGCCAAACCCGCAGCACCCATAGGCCTTGCTGGAAGGGGAGCCCTAGCTGTGAGAGAAAATCCCTATGCACACCCAAGTGTGGGCAAGTGTTTTCGATGTGGAGAACCTGGCCTTAAATCTAACAATTGCCTCAAGCGACTGCTGGTCGAGCATGAGGAAGGTGCGTGTGAGGAAGGTGAGTTCCTTACCTTTGAAGAAGTAGAGGTGGCTGAAGGAGATAATGGCGAGTTGTCCCACTCTTTAGTCATGAGGAGGTTGATGTTCACGCTAAAGGAGGAGGAGCACTTGCTGCGTCATAATGTGTTCCATACACTGTCAACCATAAGGTATATGACATTATTGATAGTGGCGTTAGTGAGAACTTGTTTCCTCAACAATGGTTTGAAAATTGGGATGCCTCAATAGTGGGAATCAGAGCAGTTATATCCGAAGAAGGAAGGTCAATAGCGTTTTATAGTGAGAAGCAGAGTGCAGCACGGAAGAAGTGGACTACCTATAAGTTGGAATTCTATGCGGTGGTGCAAGCTTTGCATACGTGGGAGCATTATCTTATCCAGCGACAGATCACCAGGCCCTGAAATCCATTAACAATCAAAACAATGTTAATCAGATGCACAGGCGATGGGCGGCTTATATCCAGCGTAACACCTTCTCGCTAAAACACAAGTTAGGCCAATATAACAAAGTTGCAGATGCACTAAATTGGAGAGTAGCTTTCTTAGTTACTATGAAGGCTGAAATCACTGGTTCGAGTGCCTAAAGGAGTTATATGAGGCTGACGAAAATTTTGGCTAAGCCTGGGCAGTGTGTAAAACGAGCCAATCCTTTTAATGGTTGCACATGCAGGAAGGATTTCTCTTTAATGGCAATCAGTTGTGTATTCCAGGAGTTCTTTGCGGGAGGAAGTGGTTCATGAATTGCATGGAGGAGGATTAGGAGGACATTTGGGGTGTGTGATAAGACGCGAGAGCTGTTAGAACGGCCGTAACTCAAGCGTGACATGGAGAACCATGTGTGGCGGTGCTCAGTCTGCCAAACTAATAAAGGCCGATCTCAAAATACTGGTCTTTACACACCGCTACCTATTCCAGATGTTCCATGGGACGATTTATCCATGGATTTTGTTTTAGGGTTGCTGAGGATGCAGCGAGGAGCAGACTTTGTTTTTGTGGTGCTTGATCGATTTTCCAAGATGTCCCATTTTATTGCATGCAAGAAGACGAACGATGCAGTCCAAATGGCTAATCTGTTCTTTAAGGAGGTGGTTCGTTTTCATGGGGTGCCACAGTCCATTTCCTCAGATTGCGACACCAAGTTCTTGTCTCACTTTCTATACCTCTCTTAATTTCAGTAGCACCAGTCACCCCAGCCAAACAGTGGTGGTGAATAGGACCATTGGAAATCTAATTCGCTTTATTTCAGGAAAGAAACCTGAACAGTGGGATCTCGCCCTTGCTCAGGCAGATTTGATTACAATTGCATGGTTAACAGGTTCACTGGCAAATCCCCGTTTGCGGTTGTATATTGCTGTTCTCCAAAAGTTGCTTTGAATTTGGTATCCTTACCGAAGTTGCCGGGGAAGAGTGTTGCTGCAGAGAAAATGGCTGAGCACATTAAGACCATTCAGGAGAGTGTCAAGAAACATTTAGAGGAAACTTACGCCAAATACAAGGCTGCAGCTGACAAGAGACGAAGGAAAAGAGTATTTGAAAAAGGGGACCTGATTATGGTATATCTAAGAAAAGAGAGGTTTCCAGTGGGAACATATAACAAGCTGAAGGCCAAGAAATATGGTTTGTAGCATATTCTAAAGTAAATCAATGATAACGCCTATGTGATTGACTGACATGGCCATTTCTTCTACCTTCAATGTGGCTGACATACATTGGACGAGTTCTTTTTAAGCAAGGGAGGTTGATGTAGAACAACTCGTTCACGATTATATGAGAATACAGGATCATCGCAAATCAGGAGGCTGAAAAGTTAAGCGAAATAGAAGAAAATAAATAAATAAATAAGGAAAAGTCAAAAGGAGATTTGGTGTAGTTGCCAATAATAAAAGATATTATTCTCCATTGTAAGAATTAAGGAAGATTCAGAAAATAAATAAGAACATTTGGTGTAGTTGCTAACAATAGAAGATATTATTCTCCATTATAAGATTTAAGGAGGATTCTGTTCCATCAAAACTCAGATTTCCCCTTTAATATTATTTCACCCTTGCTTTCTTTTTTTATTTTATTTTTGACTTGCCTATATAAAGACGAGATGTAGGTTTGCAAAAATCATTATTATCAATATAATTTCAGTTTCTCTCTTGTGAGAGTGTTCTTTGTGAATTCAAGGGTTCAACCATGTTCTTTTCGTTTCTGCTACGTTATGTTCTATCATCGTAAAGAATATAATTTGTTTGTGTTTGTTTTTTTCCAAAATGGAGAGACCATATGTAGCCTGCTATAACTACCTAGTCAAGCAAAAATGTAACGGGGAATTGCATTGCCTAGCATATTTGCAATCAAAATGCAACATAGTTCCTCTTTATATTATTCCCTTCAATAGAAAAACTGAGCTAGATTTTGAAGGGCCACGAACAGTGGCACATGAGAACCTTTTAAGGTTGACTGATATTGATGTCGGAAGGCAATTGACATTATACGAGGCTGCTAATCAAACAATTCACCTATGGCTAAAGAACTATAGAATGCAATATACATAAAATGTGAGTATGGTTGTCCAGTGACAATTCAAAGAATTTAAAACAATAATCAGGTGAGTTTTAGCAGCAATTTTTTTATTGAATTTCGTAGTAAGTTAACTATGTACATTTGGTTGTATCCATATACATAAATTTGGAGTATTTTATGATCTTCTTTTTCATATTATAATTAGAGGTCTTCTGAATGCTATACTGAAAGTGCATGAACATGGATTCTGCACTTCAAGGGAGTGGATGGTGTACGTTCATGAAAATAAGCCGAAGTTGTTAGTTGATGTCACGTAACCCTAAATTAGGGGCCGATGTTGTTCACCGTGGAACATACAAAAAGAACATAGCTCATGACATAGTTTGTACAGTTGCATGAAGGTGAAACATGTTATAATATTCATCCCGTGGAATATTCTTTCTCGTAGTATTACAATTTGCATTAGTTTGAACAGTTGCATGAAGGTGAATACAGCTCAAACCAAGCAAGATATGATATTAACCATGCTTCATTTTTTCATTGGATTTCGTACTAGATTAACCATTTACATGTAGTTGTATCCATTAAACAAATTTGGAGTGTATTGTATTTTATCTTTTCATTTTCTTAATGCAAGGGCTTACGCAACGCAATAGTCAAAGTGCATGAACGGGGTTTTTGTACTTCAAGTGAATGCATAGTGTTTGTTGTGGAGGATAAACCAAAGCCATTGGTGGATATGATACCTAACCCCAAGTTAAGGGTAGGTATTTTTGTTATATTAATTATATATTTCTTCTTTCAAATTTGATTTCTTTATTTTTGATTGTGAACAGGGACAACAACTATCTAACAAAACACTGCGCTTTGTTGAATGCGAGAGAACGTAATTACTTTTACGTGGCAGTAACGGCGGAGATGTTTTCTTTAAATGTGTTAAGGTATGATGCCACAACATGAAGTGTTGGAGATGATGTTTACTATAACAAAAATGATGCGTATTCCCACTACAAGTATTTGAGGGATGCAGTTCTCCACATTGTGAACCCGAAGGCATGGGAGCCAAAAGACGGCAAGCCAGATTGGGCTTGTTATTACTCACGGAAGCTCCTCTGGATGTAGGAGGAGATGAATGATGACAGGAGGGATGAATTTGTAGGGAAATCTCAGAAAAAGGTCAGTGCAAAGTTTGAACAGCCATATGATGAATTAATATAATCACTTTACTACCATGTGTTATTCACTTGAATTCTTTTTAAATTTGATGAATTTAATTACTATGCAACAACATCTGTTGTACATGAACTGAAGTTGTCTACTTTAAATTTGTATTTTCTATATTCATGTGTCTGCTTCTCTGTGCTTGAATCTGATTCAATCACCTTCCACCTGATTAATAGTTGTATTTTGGAAAGATGACTTGCTTGCTTTGCTTAGTTTAGTTGTGAAGGATTTGTTTTTGTTTTCTTGTTTATTCACGAGAGTGTCAAGAAACATCTAGAGGAAACTTATGCCAAATACAAGGCTGCAGCTGACAAGAGACGAAGGAAAAGAGTATTCGAAGTAGGGGATCTGATTATGGTGTATCTAAGAAAAGAGAGGTTTCCAGTTGGAACATACAAGAAGTTGAAGGCTGATTCTAAATGAAAATCAATGATAACGCCTATGTGATTGACTGACATGACCATTTCTTCTATCTTCAATGTGGCTGACATATATGAATATTATCCGCCAGATTCGGGTAACTCAAGGACGAGTTCTTTTTACGCAGGGGAGGCTGATGTAGAACAACTTGCTCATGATTATCTGAGTATACATGATCATCGCAAATCAAGGAGGCTGAAAAGGTAAGGAGAATAGAAGAAAGAAAATAAATAAATAAGGAAAAGTCAAACGGAGATTTGGTATAGTTGCCAACAATAGGAGATATTATTCTCCATTGCAAGAATTAGGGAGGATTCTAAAAATAAATAAGAATATTTGGTGTAGTTGCCAACAATGGATGATATTATTCTCCATTGCAAGGTTTAAAGAGGATTCTGCTCCATAAAATCTCAGATTTCCCCTTTAATATTATTTCACGCGTGCTTTGTTTTTTTATTTTATTTTTGACTTGCTTATATAAAGGCAGGAGATGTAAGTATGCAAAAATCATTATTATCAATATTATTTTAGTTTCTCTCTTGTGAGTGTGTTCTTTGTGAATTCAGGGTTTAAACCTGTTTTTTTTTTTTTTTTTTTTTTTTCATAATTGTTTAACCCTGTTCTTTATCGTTTCCGCTACATTATGCGCTATCATCGTAAAGAATATTAGTTGTTTGTATTTGTTTTTGTTTTTGTTTTTTTTGGGGAATGGACAGACAGTATAAAGCCAGCTATAATTGCCTAGTCAAGCAAAAATGTAACGGGGCTTGAATGTAGAAGTCATCATTTTCTTCGTTCTTGAATATCATGGGTCAGATGTCATGTTTCATGTGATGTCAGCACAAGTTTTGTTAGGTGAAAGACATTACATTGATTTTTAACTGAGGGAGTGGGAGGGAAATGAGAGTAGAAGAGAAGGAAGAATTTTTCTTCTTGTTTGCTTTAAAAATGAAGAGGGAAATAAGAGGAATAGAAGGGAGGAGGGAGAGCCTTATCATCTTTGACTTACTGACCCTTTCTTTTTCTTCATGGCATGGGGATTCAAATCAATGTATCCACAAAGATGACCTGCCAAGGGAAAGGGACCAGCTCGTCCTTTCGGGGTATATTCCTTTAGGCTAACACAAGGGCCTAACCAAAAATTCCGTTTAATAAAAAATTAATTGGATTTTAAGCCCAAGCCCGAACCGGGTGCGCATGTGCGTAGCAAATGGATCCCGTTTGACCAGATCCGGCCAAAATACCAATTCTATTTTTTTTTTCTTCTCTGTTTTGCTGGGTACAACATGGCTTCCAGTTCAGATTTGTTTTCTCCCACCTCTGGTCTCCCATGACTTCTGAATAGTTTTCAAGGTGAGATTGCCCTTCAAAAAGTGGGAGAATTTGGAAGGAAGGATGAGAAACCTAGAGCCTGTTTGGTTCAATTTTTAGATAACACTTTTAATTATTATGAAATTAGAAACCAATTTTTTAGATATTTATGAAAGACTGTTCGATGAAAGCGGGATTGCATTTTCTTCTTCCGCTTCATTTATATATATATTTAAAAAGATTGTCACCTTAATGGACTTTTGAATCGTTATTAGTTTTCTTATGTTGTTGGAGAGCAGTAATTTTTATCAAAAATCTAAACCAAGGAGACCCTAGTTTATGCTATTTTTATAACAAGTGATCTATTTTTTTACTCCTTGCAATTTAGACCATTATTTCATTCATTTTCTTTTCACTATTTTTTCAAACATGATAGAGGGGTCAGGGGTATCACTATCCTTTTCGGCTTTAATTTTTTTCCCTCCTCTGTTATCGAAACAAAAGGAAATGTTAACATAATCCTCTCTGCTTCTTTTTTTTGTTTTCAAAATGTTTATACGAGTTTTTCCATGTATTTTTTTCGATAACCAAAAAGGGGTGCAACACAGGGACTTCCCAGGGGTCACCCATCCTAGTATTACTCTCGCCTAAGCATGCTTAACTGTGGAGTTCTGATGTGATCCGGTGTATTAGTGCTGGTATGATCACACCCACGAGTTTTTCTATTTCTTTCTTTTTGAAAATGATGGGCATTGGTTGGTGCAATGATAGAAACTCAGGCAAATAAGCATAAAAATGACAGCTCGAGTTTCACAAGGTTTGGTTAGTATGACCGTTTGAGTTTGAGAATAATCACCTCGTGAAAAGCTTAATTATCATAATCGTGATTTGGATTATGAAATTCCACAAATAAGGCAACCATGACTACTTGACTGATGCTAGGATTAGAAGGTTGGTTTATTAATGTGAGAACATTGTTGCTAGAGATGGATAATTTGGTTCAATAAAATGGACTACCTATGAGTTGGAATTCTATGTGGTGGTGTAAACTTTGCATACGTGGGAGCATTATCTTATCCAGGGAGAGTTCGTTCTATTTACAGATCACCCGGCACTGAAATCCATTAACAATCAAAATAGTGTTAATCGGATGCACGCGCGATGGGCGGTTTATATCCAACGTAACACGTTCTAGCTAAAACACAAGTCAGGCCAACATAACAAAGTTGCAGATGCACTAAGTTGGAGAGCAACTTTCTTAGTTACTATGAGGCTGAAATCACAGGGTTTGAGTGCCTGAAGGAGTTATACGAGGCCGATGAAGATTTTGGCTAAGCTTGGGCAGCATGTAAAACGAGTCAATCCTTTTAAGGGTTGCATATGTAGGAAGGATTTATCTTTAATGGCAATCAATTATGTATTCCACAGAGTTCTTTGCGGGAGCAAGTGGTTCGTGAATTGCATGGAGGAGGATTAGGAGGACATTTGGGGCATGATAAGACGCGAGAGTTGGTAGAAGAACGGTATTATTGGCCACAATTCAAGCGTGACGTGGAGAACCATGTGCGGCGGTGCTCAATCTGCCAAACTAATAAAGGCCACTCTCAGAATACTGGTCTGTACACACCGCTGCCTATTCTAAATGCTCCATGGGAGGATTTATCCATAGATTTTGTGGTGGTCGATTGATTTTCCAAGATGTCCCATTTTATTGCATGCAAGAAGATGAACGATGCAGTTCAAATGGCCAATATGTTCTTTAAGGAGATGGTTCGTTTGCATGGGGTGCCACAGTCCATTACCTCAGATCGTGACCCCAAGTTCTTGTCTCACTTTTGGCGGACTTTATGGAAGAGATTCGATACCTCTCTTAATTTCAGTAGCACGAGTCACCCCCAGACTGATGACCAAATAGTGGTGGTGAATAAGACCCTTGGATATCTAATTCGTTGTATTTTAGGAAAGAAACCAAAACAATGGGATCTTGCTCTTGCCCAGGCATAATTTTCTGCTTACAATTGCATGGTAAACAGGTCCACTGGCAAATCCCCGTTTGCGGTTGTGTATTGCTGTTCTCCAAAAGTTGCTTTGGATTTGGTATATCCTTACCAAAGTTGTCGGGGAAGAGTGTTGTTGCAGAGAAAATGGTTGAGCACATTAAGACCATTCACAAGAGTGTCAAGAAACATCCGGAGGAAACTTACGCCAAATACAAGGCTGCAGTTGACAAGAGATGAAGGAAAAGAGTATTTGAAGAAGGGGACCTGATTATGGTGTATCTAAGAAAAGAAAGGTTTCCAGTTGGAACATACAAGAAGCTGAAGGCCAAGAAATATGGTTCGTAGCAGATTCTAAATGAAAAGCAATGATAACGCCCATGTGATTGACTGACATGGCCATTTCTTCTACCTTCAATGTGGCTGACATACATGAATATTATCCGCCAGATTCGGGTAACTTGGGGACGAGTTCTTTTTACACAGGGGAGGCTGATGTAGAACAACTTGCTCACAATTATCTGAGCGTACAGGATCATCGCAAATCAAGGAGGCTGAAAAGGTAAGGAGAATAGAAGAAAATAAATAAATAAGGAAAAGTTAAACGGAGATTTGGTGTAGTTGCCAACAATGGAAGATATTATTCTCTTTTACAAGATTTAAGGAGGATTCTGCTCCATCAAATCTTAGATTTCCCCTTTAATATTATTTTCTTTTTTAATTTTATTTTTGACTTGCCTATATAAAGGCAAGAGATGTAAGTATGCAGAAATCATTATTATCAATATTATTTCAGTTTCTCTCTTGTAAGTGTGTTCTTTGTGAATTCAAGGGTTTAACCTTGTGTTTTTTTTTTTTTTTTTTTTCATAATTGTTTAACCCTGTTCTTTATCGTTTTTGCTACGTTATGTGCTATCATCGTAAAGAATATAATTTGTTTGTGTTTGTTTTTGTTTTTGTTCTTTTCCAGAATGGAGAGACAGTATAGAGCCGGCTATAATTGTCGAGTCAAGCAAAAATGGAACCGGGAATTGCATTGCCTAGCATTTTTGCAATAAAAATGCAATATATTTCCTCTTTATATTATTCCCTTCAATGGAAAAACCGAGCTAGATTTTGAGGGGCCACGAACAGTGGCACATGAGAACCTTTTAAGGGTGATTGATATTGATGTTGGAAGACAATTGACATTATACGAGGCTGCTGATCAAATAATTCTCCTATGGCTAAAGAACCATAGAATGCAATATAACAGAAAAAGTGAGCAGTATGGTTGTCCAGCGACAATGCAAAAGAATTTAAAACAATAATCAGGTGTGTTTATGCAGCAATTTTTTTTATGTACATTTGGTTGTATCCATGTACATAAATTTGGAGTATTTTATGATCTTTTTCATTTTATAATTAGGGGTCTTCTGAATGCTATACTGAAAGTGCATGAACATGGGTTCTGCACATCAAGGGAGTGGACGGTGTACGTGCACGAAAATAAGCCGAAGTTGTTAGTCGATATGTCACCTAACCCCAAATTAGGGGCTGATGCTGTTCACCGTGGAGCATACGGAAAATGCTAATATGCCTGTGGACGTCCAATGTTTTGTAGATTTCCTAAAGGATGAAATCGCACAATGGTATAAATTGTATAAATTCATTGCCTGGTATAATGTTTTTATATTTTTTGTTATATTTCATTCTTTAAATTTGGTTTCTTTATTTGTGGACAGGAACAACGTATACCTCACGAAGTGCTCATGGATTCCCGGGAGCGCATGTACTTTTTTGTTGGTGTAATGGCCGAAATGGATTCTCTTGGATCGGCTGCAACCATTAGACTAAAACTAAAAATGTCTCCGTTCCTGGATGTATCAATCGAAGGGGATGTTCTAAAAAATTGGACTTTAAGAATTCTGACACATTCACTTGCCGAGGACGTATTAGTTTTTTTATTCCAAGACAGGACATTATGGAGACGAGTTTCGCTATAAAAAAGAAGATACGTATGAACATTATAAGTTTTTGAGGGACTTTGTTCTTCATATGGTGAGCTTGAAGCCATGAGAAAGGCCAAAAGTCAATTCTAAATGGGTAAATCCTAATCTATTATTTTTTGCGATTCACATTTTTACAACAATAACTGCCCTTCTAACTTCTTTTTTTTTTTTTTTTTTTTTTTTTTTTTTTTTTTTTTTTTTTTTCATGTTAACAATCATTAGGGACTAGGAAAGGACATACAATATATTGATAAAGTTCTTTCAACCTTATATCGCGATTCAATTTCAAACCTGCAGAGGTTCCTGTTAGAGGAATCAAAACTTGGGCACTTTCTGAAGCAATGGCCAAAAGGTATGTGAGTTTTGCCACCCCATGTGAGTGTCTTCACTGTCATTGTTACATATGACTCGGCCTTATATTGGCGAGCACTGCTCTTAAGATGAGGATAAGCTTTTTACAAGTTTGAGATCTATTATCCTTTTGTGAATCCAAGTACAGTGTATAATATGGAACAGTTTGTTGTTGATCATGGAAAATGTATTGCTATGTCCCATGGCCTAACGCGGCATTAGTGTGCAATTCTGCAATAGTACATGTCAGATGGATGAGATTTATTTTATACTCATTAGTCCTGAAAAATCTATATTTCCTCTATTGCTATATGAAGTAAACAGGCTGCTAGAGCAAATTTGTGAGGGAAAAACTGGAAAAATTGGAGGGGCATTGGACCTCCCATAAGTTCCTTTGCTTTAACAGAAGTGTGTTGATCCATCTAGGCCATAGGTTGTCTGGAAATTGAAGTAGAAACCAAATATGTTTGATCATTGCTGCAGTGTTGAGCATACTGAGGTTAGGCAGAGACAATCAACCTTTCTCCTTAGGCGCACACACAATTCTATTCTACTTTGCATCTGCTTCTAGAGCTAGTCCCTGACCAAAGGAAGTTCCTGATGATAGTGCTTATTCTAGAGATGACAAGCTTGGGTAGAATCAAAACATCTATCCAATAGAGAAGCTTCCTGTAGCGGACTGTCTTACACGAGAAGTCTTACTTGACCAGTGGTAGACTTTACCTGCAAATTGTTCCACTAGAGTAGTGCAATCATTGGAGGTTAGTCTTGTAGAAATAATAGGACCCCCTAGATAATTGACAGGGAGTTCTCCCATTTCAAATTGTAAGTGATTAAGGATGCTAGCATGGTCATTAGATGAAATGCCAGAGAAGAAAACCCTACTTTTGGTGGGATTCGCGAATAGGCCTGAAAGGTTAAAGAAGGTATTGAGGCCTTGGTTTAAAACAGAAATAGTGAGAGAGATCTCCCCGAGCAAACAAAAGTAAGTCATCAACAAAAACAAGTTGTGTAAGAGCAGAGTTCTTACATCTGTAACAGTGACAAAAATCAGGGTTATTAGCAGTGATAGAAGTGAGAAGTTGGGAGAGGACTTCCAAAGCAAGAAAAAATAGGGAGGGTGATAAAGGATCACCCTGCCTCAACCCTCTCTTCCCTTTTAAAAATCCATGAACCTCTCCAGTATAAGAAATGGAGATGGAGGGTGTTGTAATACACAGTTTCACTCATTTGACAAAAATATTAGGGAAACCCATCAGTTTCAGAGAATCTAAGATGAACTCCCACCCCAGGGTAGGTGGCAGCAACTTCCATTGTGGAACTGAAATGGGATATGAGCTCATTACTGATTACATCCTAATTAACAGTAGTTTTTCCTGATGAAAGTGTTAGCTATTGTCCATGGTCCCCCCTTCCACAACTCTTGTTGCTGCTTGTTGGATTTGAAACTCAAAGAGGTAGTACCCTTTTGCATTGACTATTACCTCTGTCAGATCTCTTGTACCCCATATTTTATGTGCATTTTGTTTGAACCACTCTGAAAGGAACCTTCCTTTGGTAGAAAGGTCCTACTAAAGTTGTTTTTCACTCATCTACCCCTTCAGAAGAGATGTAGTTGGAGGAGCTACTGAAAATTTTCCATTGTTAGAAGCAAGTTGGTGGAATTCAAATTGCATGGAAATTGGAATAATGTTTAATTGTTTCTAGCTGTCTTAACCCAAGACTTTGGGTTCTGAGTTCTGTCTAGCTGTTGAGTTGAGGCTTGAACAGTCAGCTGGGCATTAGGTAGAGCAGATTCAGGGTTTTTTGAGTGTGGGATAGACTATGTCAGGATGTGCAGGAGCTGCAGTATCAGCAGAAGGGAAAGTTTGACGGTTGACAGCATGAATATGGGAAGGGTTGGATGGACTGTTAGGCTATGTTTGGTACGGTGAGAAAGAAAAGAAAGGATGACAATAGTTATGAGAGAAAGGAAAGGGAAGGGAAGGGAAGGGAAGGGAAGGATAATTTTAATCCCCTATCGTGTTTGGTTGATTAATGAAGGAAAAGAAAGGAAAGGACATGTTTGGGAAAAGAAAGGAGAGGAAACTATTTTAATAAATTTACTATTATACCCTTTTATATTTTAAAAGATAAATTTATAGATTTAACTATGTAATATAAAAATAATATTTTTAGGGCAAATCATTTTAGCCTCCCCAATCGCCTCCATCTCTATTCTCGTTCTCAAATCCGAACTTGCCCTCTCTCTCTCTCTCTCTCTCTCTCTTTCTTCAACTGCAAACTACAAAATCTACAAGAATCAGAAGTTCAAAACCCATATATTTCAGTTATTCTATCTGTCTGCAAGAATCAAAAGTTCAAAACCTATTACCTATATCAAAACCCATATCGGCATATCATTTCAGATTGTTCAAAAAATCAAAACCCATATCTTTCAGTTTCCATCGCCCACTGTTCCAGTTCGGGTTCGCCGTTCGCAAGTTTCAGCCGCTGTCTCTCAACTCTCAAGCTTGCCCCCCTCTCTTTGCAACTTCTAACTTGTATGTATGGGTTTTGTTTTAATTTTTTTTCTAAATCAACTAATTGAGGTCTGTAATTCTTGTTTTGCAAACTAAATCCTAAAATCAAGAGTAATCTTGATTTTGTGTAAGGGTAAATTTGGCATCAGAAATAATACATCAAGCCTTTCCTTCTCTCTCCTTCCATATCCTCCCATTTTTGGGAAGATAAGAAAGTTACCATTTTTGCCTTGTGTTATCCTTCCAAAACCATTCCTTTCCTTCTAACCATTTATGCCAAACACAATTTTTTAGGCTATGTTTGGTACGGTGGCAATGAATAGAAAGAATAACATTAGTTATGAGGGGAAGGGAAGGATAATTTTAACCCCCTATCTTGTTTGGTTGATTAATGAAGGAAAAAATAATAATCATGTTCGGAAAAAGAAAGGAAAGGAAAGTATTTTAACAAATTTACTATTATACCTTTTTATATTTTAAAAGATAAATTTATAGATTTTTTTTTTTTTTTTTTTTTTTTTTTTTTTTTTTTTTTTAATTTTATAGATTTGACTATATAATTTGTAGGTCCATGGATGATGGGCCACCAGGGAAAAAAAATAAAAAATAAAAATTTAGGGCAAATCATTTCACCCTCCCCAATCGCCTCTATTCTCGTTCTCAGTAAACCTGCCCCCCTCTCTCTCTCTCTGCAACTGCAAACTCCAAAACCTACAAGAATCAGAAGTTCAAAACCCATATATTTTAGTTTATCTATCTGCCTGCAAGAATCAAAAGTTCAAAACCCATATCGGCATATCATTTCCGATTGTTCAAAAAATCAAAACCCATATCTTTCGGTTTCCATCGCTCACTGTTCCAGTTCAGGTTCGCCGTTTGCAAGCTTCAGCCGTTGTCTCTTAACTCTCAAGCTTGCCCTCCTCTCTCTGCAACTGCTAACTTGTATGTATGGGTTTTGTTTTTCTAAATCAACTAATCAAGTCTGTAATTCTTGTTTTGCAAACTAAAATCAAGTGTAATCGTGTTTTTGTGTAAGGGTAAATTTGGCATCAGAAAGAGTGCATCAAGCCTTTCCTTCACTTTCCTTCCATTTCCTCCCATTTTTGGGAGGATAAGGATGTTACTATTTATGGCTTGTGATAACCTTCCAAAACCTTCCCTTCCCTTTCCTTCCAACCATTTAGGCTAAACACAATTTTTTAATCACCCTCCATCACCTTCCCTTTCCTTTCCTCCCTTTTCCATTGCACCAAACTGACCCTTAATCACCCTCCATCACCTTTCCTTTCCTTTCCTCCCTTTTCCATTGAACCGAACTGACCCTTAACATTTGTGTTGGGTGGTTTAGGCAAAAATGATTGGTTATTATTTGTATATGGGGACATGGGAGGCAGAGTTTTGTTCATTTTACCGATGGGTATTGAGATTGGTTTAAATGAGGAGTACCTTTAATCAGAAAATGATGTGTAAGCCTCTAGAATAACTTTGGATGGGAGTTGGTGAGAGTTTGTTTCTGACCGATCTAAGAAGCACGGATCCTTCTATGAAGTGCCTTGTCCGTGTTTGACACCTTATCCGACACCGACACTTTATTAATACTTCTGGACGCGTCTTTGATACTTCATGGCCGTGTTCATAATTTGAGAATAATTTTTATTATATTGAACATTTGACTGACACATCTTGGGCACTTGTCAGACACTTGGTGAACACATGCCGGACACTTGACCAATACATCCCGCACTTTATCTTTCTAAACCAAACACATGACAATTCTTAGAAACAACATTATGCACATACATTTAAGTGTCTAAGCTCCTTTTTGTTAAAAAAAATAAAAAATAAAAATACATTAAACACGTCAAAGTATGTAATGAGAGGGACAAGAAAGACAACTTATAATGACAAGATATGATAGTAATATCATATATAATATAATATATATATATATATATATATATATATATATATATTTATATTTGAATAGCTTCAATTTCAAACTTATGTAACTTTAGTATAGGAATAATAAATTAATTAATGTTATATAATTGTCTTATTCAATATATATAAATGAAAATTTATATTTATATTAGCCGTGCCAGTGTCCTACTTTTCTAGGGTTAACGTGTCGGCGTATCCATGTCGTATCGTGTCCGTGTTTATTCTTAGCACCCCATTAATATCAGATATCACCTCTTTAGTGTGTGTGTGTGTAGTATAAAAAAATAATACGCTACTCAGTACTGATTCTTAGCACCCCATCAATATCAGAAATCACCTCTTTAGTGTGTGTGTATATGGTATAAAAAAATAACACTCTACTCAGTACTGAATGAAAATGGTGTCTGTATCTTGTCTTTTTGCTATACACTTGGTATTTGTTAGTGCTTGTCTATGTCCTCATCGAGAATAGAACATTGGTGACTCCCTGGGTCTTTTTTGGAATCTCTGACCGAGGATTGGTCTTGGTGATTTAGTTATGCTGAAAGAGGTTAAAGGAAAATAGGAGGAAAGAAAGGAATTCTTGCGTGGAAAAGTTTTATTGCTTTTCCCTTTTAAGTTTCAATATCAACTAAAATTGGGCGTGTAATATGGAGGCCAGGATTGGAGCTGGACACTTAAAATTACAATTCTGACCATCAGTTGGCCCACTAGAAATTGAAATTTTTTTTTTCTTGGCTAACTACTGAAATTTAATTTGAATTCTGCATACTAATCCATGGAATTGCACTAAAGGTTTGATTTGAGTGATCAATGATCAACACTGAACTTCTTTTTTACCTTTTCTTTTTTGATTTTCATGACCAGTGCTTTAGTAGTGATTAGTGAATCATCTGTTCAATAATATTTTGATAAGTAAGCTTTTTGAAAGATTAGCTAGTTATTTGTTGAAGTATTCTCAATAAGCTTTTTGAAAGATTAGCTAGTTATTTGTTGAAGTATTCTCAATAAGATGAACTAGGGTCTGCTTGGAGTGAGAGATTCCAAACTATTTTCTTCCCTTTTTTCCCATTTAAGTGCTTTATTAGTTATCAGTGAACCATCTGTTCTATAATCTGGATAAGAGAGCTTTTTGGTTTATCATTAGGTTTATTTGGAAAGAGAGGTTGAATCCTCATGTACTTGAATCTCAATTTGCAATTTTGATTTTGTTGTAAATTCTTTGTCTCCAATGGAAATAATTTCAATTTCACCTAATCCAGTACTAACTTGTAAGTCATGACTGTAGTTCCATTTTAACTTGCCAATCAGACCCTAAAGAAAATTGGGTTTTTTCAGGTGTATATACAATTTCGCTTTTTCCTTCATTCTCTCTTTTCCTAACAGATTTTTATCCCAACCAAATGAATGGAAATTGAATTCCCTTTCAGTTTTGTCCTCCCCTCCTTGTTTCTGAATTGCCTAAATGTTTTTAGGATAGAATGAGACTCCTTGAAAAGAATGTTATAGGACCAGAAATATCACCACCAGAAATCTGATACAATTGTAGAAGTGTTCTTCTTTCATAATTGTAGTTCTATAAACTCCTCGCTGCAAATTTATAAACATGTATTTCTTTTGCAGGCTTTGCGTCTACTAGATGCTGCTTTTGTATCAAGATCTGCTCTGACTGATGCTCTCAAGCTAAAAGAACCAAAACAAGAACAGTGAGGTAATTAATATCAGTCATCTCGATGCATGGACAGAATGAAAACTCAAAAGGAATGCAGTTATAAATTGGCATAGTTTCTGTTGTTATAAGTGGAGTTGCCCTTAGCTTCTGTTGGACTTGGGAAGCTATCCAACTTGTGATAGAACTTGCTCTGGGCATCATGATCATCATCGTCATCATCCTTGCCTTTCTCCCATATGGATGGGGTCGGCCGCATGAATTCTCTTTTTGCATTCTTTCCTATTATAAATCATTCATGCGCTGCTCTTAATTTAAGTTTTTAATTACCACATCCCACACGTAAGCTTTAGTCAGCCTCCTTGTCGCTTATCTTCTACACAAACCATTCTTCCTCTTTTAATAGGTGCATCATCGAGTCTGCATTGAATATGACCATACGATCTTAGTCTACTTTCCCTAACTTTATTATTTATTGGCGCTATACTTAATTATTTCCTCACATGTACATTATATATCTTATCTCTTCTAGTGACTTTTATCATCCAACATAGCATATCCTCATTTCCACTACATGGATGCATTGTATTTATGTCTTTTTCAATGCCCAACACTCCGCCCCACGCAATATTGCCGGCCTAATAGCCATTCTATAGATTGTCACAAAGAATACCTACCACTCACTAGCGTGCCTCCATTTCGTCCACCCAACTCCAATCCTACTTACTACATCACCATTTATATCCCCATCTTTTTGTAGTATTGATCCTATGTAACGGAAATAGTTCTTTTTAGAGTAACACTTTGATTTTGAAGTGTAATATTTATATTGTCATCGTTTTCTATTTTATCAATTTTACATGCCATATATTCCATTTTGGTTTTACTAATTCTTAGGCCCTTGATTCTAATGTCTTTCTCCATATTTCTAATTTTACCTCCAAAGCTTTCTTAGAGGTATCTCTATTGAAACTGTCTTGTGCAAATAACATACACATGGGATGTTTTCTTTAATATCTTCTGTTATTTCCTCTAGTATCATCGCAAATAAGCATGGACTCACCAATCTTTGGTGTAAACCCACCTTTATAGAAAGTCGCTGTTTTCTCCGCATGTAGTGTTAACTTTAGTCAATGTCTCACTGTACATATATTGTATAAGATTATAAGTTATATAGGTACTTGTTTTCTTTGTAAAGCCCACCAAATTATATCCCTTGGCACTCTATCACTAGTCTATCAATGAAGTGTTCTATGGGCATATTTCTTTTCATAATTATTATGGTGTCGTCGCACCCATATGCTTTTCGAGCTAGTGACTTTTGAGCTTTGATCTGATATTTTGTTTTCTACTAAATTGTTTCTTGCAGCTTGAGTACAGCAGTTCCCAGTGGGATAAAAACCGAAGGATAAAAATCCTAGGTCTTTTGCTACTGCTAGTTTTTGGTTATGAGCTTTTCTTGAACTTTATGATATATTATATGTGGGATTAATATTATTAGGCTCTTGTGGACCTTCCAGAAAAGAAAAAAAAAAAAAAAAAAAAAAAGGAAAGAAAGTCTCTTGTAGGACTTTTGACTGGCAAGGTATCATATCATGCTGATGGTGGTTCATGGCATCGGTACATAGGTGGTTCGTGTTTGGTGGCGGCGTATTTCCAGAATCTATAATTCTATATATGTATATATATTCTTTTGGTGAATGGATTGTGTTCTAAGAATTTAACATTTAATGTTGGATAAATATTGTAAACTAAAAAGAAGATATCATGACAATGACAAGCGTCTGTGAGCTCTTGTTAGTGATTGATGAATTGAGAGATTTATTTAATTTTCACATATTTCTAAAACTATCTTTTTGCGGTGTTTAAAAGTGTTAATACAGTTGTATAGAAGAGTTCATGATTTTTGTCATTAATATGATTAGTTTTTTTTTTTTTTTCCCCTCCCTTTCTTCTTAGGGGTAAGTGCAGGAAACATTTCATAGCACTTTTATTTTCTATTTAAAAAAATGTGCAAAAAACATTTCTATTCTTTTCAATTTGTGCGAAAACACTCTTACCTTTTTACTCTTTCAAAAATGCCCCTACCATTTTTGTTGAATCTCAATTGTTGCATAGACTCTTTCAATTCTTGCTACAGGCGGCGGCGACAATAGCAAATGGAGAGATGGTGGCGGTGGTGGATGAAGAGATGGATGTCGGCGGTGGTTGTGAGATCCAGCTATGCTTATTTAAACCAAATAAATCTCCCCAATTTGTGTTTGCCTCGTTTGTATCGAACAACAAATCAAGGGAAGAAGTTACAGACTTCGATTCTTCACGGTGTACCCAGAAAAGCTACAAGATACATTCGCAAACCCCACATCACCATAGTCTGCCGCTGCCATTCGCCTGCCTCACCATCACCAAAACCCAAGCAACCCCACTGGCGAGGATGAAGACGGCGGTTTGCGAGGGTAGTGAGCTTAGAACGGCGGTTCGCGAGCAAGTGGGAATCTCGGCCGGTGGTGGCAATGGCAGCAAACAGCGATTCCGGCGATGGGCTTTGGAGAGGACTGGTTCGGCCGTGAGCTCGAGACGCCTCCGTCTTTATCTCCCTCCCCGGCGACGGCTCCGTCTATATATATATATATGTATTTATATATATATAATTTGTAAATTTAAAATATATATATATCTATGTATATGTGTATCCGAAAATATCGTTCTCACATTCAAGTGTCAGGCTCCGAACAGCTTGGTTCCAGTGACTTCGCCAGTTTCTCTCCAAAACAGGAAAAATGATTTTGGCAGTATCACTTGACAATTCTATGTGATCAAATTCCTTGTGTGATCATTGTTTCACAGAAACATGGCACGCTCAGCCACCTGCCAGATAAAACCAAATATATTAGGGAGAACAAGGAACACATAATTCCTTATTAGTTTCTTACTAGTTCAATCCTTGTCAGTTAGTGTGAAACGATTAGACAAACGATAAACAAAAGGGAAAATATATTATGTCCAACTTCACTACTATATCTTTGTATATATATATGTATCTTCTCCAGTTTTCCCTTCCCTCCGCTACCACCAAATGAAGGAAAAGAAGGGTCAAGCCCTTTTTAGTCATTTCATATTATTATATATATATATATATATATATACATATATTATCAAATGTGTTGTTAAGGGTATTTTAGTTCAATTTTTATAAATAAGACCTATTTGCACAAATGTCATAGTTTAGAAGTGTTTTTTGCACTAGAAGTGTGCAATATGCACTATATATGCATACTGTAAGGATGTTTTTAACCCTTAACCCTTTTTCTTATTGTCCAAGGATATTAAAGTCAATTGTATGTGGGTGTTAAAATAATGTTCCATTCACTTTCTCATAATTAATTAAATAAAATAAAAATTGTAACCTGATCAAGCAATGGTCCCACTATCCATTTAAAAGCGATTTCTCATTTAATTAAAAGAAATTTCTACCCGAACTCGTTTGTTCCGTGGCAAGGAAAATTTGCAATACAATGGTGGTGCCATATTGTCTTGCCAAATTAAATAGGGTCTATCACTCTATCTAGTACTGTTATACAATTACATGGTGATTATTTTTTATTTTTCCGGGGTATTTTTTTTTTATAAATATTCAAAAAAGTACAATTACAATAGGAGACTAATCTCCAAAACCTGAAAAAGGAATTGACATTCCAATTCCAACAGGCATCCTATCTCAAAAGATGAACATTACAAACCAACTACAATCATAAGATTAGCTAAACTAATATCTAGAAATCTGATGTATTAGAAATGTGATTACATTCCAAATAGTAGCCTGCACAACATGTGAGCTCTGTTCTTGTATTCCTGTATGGAGCATAGCGTTCCTATTGGACCATATCTTCCAAAGAGTAACTAGAAAAATGCCATTTAAGATCTTAGATTTAAAAGACTTGGACACAGTATTCTGCAAAAACCAGTCCACAATGTGATTTAGACTTAAAAACCTTTGAACCTGAATATGCGGCAACTCAAAAATCCCTCTCCAAATCTCTGAAGCTAACCCACAATGACAGAACAATGCTCATTTGAATCTTCCCCAGCAAAACAATTGTGACAAATTTTAACTTGCAGCCCTCTTTACTGTAAATTCACAAATGACAAATTTTTATTATGTAGAATGATGACAACACAAATACTGATCCGCGGTCTACATTTTTTCCAACACAATCTGGCCCATTTGCACCTATTTCCAGTAGCTCTGCAACTATTCCATGCTGCCTTCAGTGAGAAATTCCCATGTTTCCACTTAATTTGGTCACTTCCTGCATGAATATCTGTTTGCTGAACAACATTCTTCATGTTATCATAGAAAACTACGCGGTGATTGCCTTAAAGAATCATCATTTTTGGGCTATTTTTGGATTATTTTGTATATTTTGCTAAATTGAAAGTTCAACACTGAAAAGTATGAACACAACACTCATAAAATACCAATTTAAACAGTCATACAACATAATTACTTAAAAAACCTACACTAATGTAGTATTTTATTGAGATATAGTACTAAACTATTAGATTAAAAATTAGAAATGTGAAGTCCAGATAACCAATCCGACTATGAATTTTTTTTTTGCATATATTGCAATTTCTGTTTTTTGGAGACTCGAACATATTATTATCGGGTTTAATTTCTCAATTTAATTGAATCCAAAAGGCAAATACAAAAAGTGCACTGCACTGGAAGCGGTCCATCACCAAAATGATGTAGTAAATCCTATTCCACTTTTGCACTCTTTTCTCCCTCTCTTACTCAACCCCTCACACTTCTCTGATCTCTCACCGCTCCTCTCTCCAACGAACTTTCAGAATACACCTGATACACCCCACGACGTCCGGCACACAAAATAAGTCAGAAACATTACATGTAAAAACAAAATATCAGATCACATGGGTCAGATATTATTTCAAGCTTTTCTTTTATTTTATTTTATTTCTGATTGGCAACACAAGTTAACGTTAAGTTTACTGTTCTGTTACTTTTCTTTTCTATAAGCCAAGCCAAACAAGGCCTCATATCGTGCACCGCATGGGCAATACGACAAAACTTACGAGCTTGAGAGTGTGACTTACCTAACAATTAGATCAACACTCAATTGAGAGAGGATGATATAAACCGAATTATATCCCGTTGTAATCTTATCCTCTTGTTAATTTTTTATTATAGAATAATCAATAGGATATGCCCATACTCGTTTATCAGATGATAAGTTCGTTACAACAAAAGCACACAGTGTGTCTACACATTCCAGCCGTTCGGGCAGAACCTTTGGACTCATGTGGTTGGCATATATATATATATATATATATATATATATATATGTGGGACCAAAACCACCACATCATAAAAGGTTCATGTGCTACCTAGAAAAGACTATTAAACTAACATATCTAAGCCTGTTGTTCATAGTTATCCAAAAGTTCATCAGAATAATAAGATTTAATTATAAGCCAGCCGTCCGTCCGTCTATCCTGCCAGGTGCTTTCGTTTTAGCTATCCTTATACTCGGCGGCCTCCATTTTAGCTATCTTGTTAGGTACTTTCGGTGTTTGCTTTCTTTTTTGTTGTTATGTTTTTTTTTGCTTTTGAATTTTGTCTAATAAGAACACTGGCCAATTCAAGTTTGGGGGTAGACCGGTTAATGGATCGGATCTCGATCTGAATCCGATCCGAATCAGGTCCGATTAGTCGGATATGGATTGAGTGAAAAATTCGATAACCCGATAATGATCCGAATCCGTTAATCCGTTAACTTAACAAATCGGATATGGATTTGGGTTGTTCCGATCCAATAATAATTCGATCTTACTAAAATAATATATAATTATATTTACATTTTATATTATATATATATATATTCAAGTATTAGAATTGTGTAAATGTAAATTATGTAATGAAAAACATTAATTAAAATGTTATATTTACAATAGTACTACGTGTCCTCGTCCACATAGGATCACTCCCCTAGTATCAATCCATTGAAGACGCGAGAACTCCATAGGGCATAGGCGGCACTGTAAGTCTGTAAGTCTATATTGTGCTTCTAGTTCCAGATAGAAACGAAGGTGAAGAAGAGTCATCTATTGACGCATGATGGGGAAGGAGAAAGTTCTGATTCTTTTCTTCAATCTCCCTCTATTACAAGCATAATGGGGAATGGGAAACGAAGGTGTAAGTCTATTTTTTCTTTTCTTTTCTCTATTACAAACCCTAATTTTTCATCTTTCAAAAGTACAAGTTGTTTAAGAATTTTCTTATTTTCTCCTTCTATCTCTCTTTTTCCCGTTGATGGAGATTCTGATTCTTTGTTACAGAACCCATTTCAATCTATCTTTACCCGAAATTTGATCCTCTTTGTTTCACAGTTTCACCTTAAGATGGAAGATATGAACCATATTTTCAGTAGTAAAAATCATTTATTCTAGATTTGGTATCTAATTTATTTGAATATTGAATCAAATTGCGTGATTTGTGTTTGTATAAATGCAAAAGGTAAAGTTTCTAATCGGATCGGATTTATCGGATCGAACATCCGATAAAATGAGTATCGGACATGGATCGATTAAAGAAGAATCCGTCGGATTATCAAATCGGATCGAATCACTCAGTTTGCTTATCAGATTCGGATCGGATCGACCATGATCCGGTCCAAATCCGATCCGTTGACAGGTGTATTTGGGGGATTGGAGTCTACTCTAGTTATTTTAAAAAAATAAAAATTAAGATTTAAAAATTTTCAATTCTTTTTCTTTGGCATATTAATTTTAATTCAAGTATTTGGGAATTGTTGGGGGGATGAAGAAACTTAAGTAATTTTTAAAATTCTTTTTTGAGATAGTCCTGAATTCCTACTACTTGTGCTTTATCTTATATGGGTTTCATTATCTAGTATGATAGGAATTTTAGAATTTGTTAGTCCCTGATGAATTTCACATGCACACTAAAATTTTATCTGTAGGTATTTGTATTTTTTGTTGAATTCTAATGACTGTGGATGGATATGAATTGGTAAACTTTGAAGGTTATTATTATGACATATATACATATATATATAACAAAGAAGAAAAAAAAAAATTATCTAAAGCCTTTCATGGATGGAGTAATCGGGGCTCATATCTCATCAGCATAGAGTGTTCGCATGAAGAAGTAGGAGGGTAAGGGAGACAAAAAAAAAAAAAAAAATGAAAAAAATTGATTTGGTTCATCCAGGTTTGTAGCCTAATTAACTTGAGCAATTAAGTCCTTAGGGGTGTTTTTACACGTAATGCCCTAAAACTATCTGGTCAAGTCATTGGCTAAAAGCTTGTTACATGAGTCTTCTAGAAAGTTTAATAGACCGGACATTGCACAACCAATCAATACAATGTGTGTGAATATATATATATATATATATATATATATATATGAGGACGCCAAAGACGGCTTGGGCCAGATCCAACTCACGAAACGAAGTATGGGCCTGACAATTGACAAGGGCCCGATCTTGACGTCCACAAAGCAGACCGGGTATATTGGACTGATTAAAAAAGGCCTTCCAGGAGGATTCAGGCCCATAACCACTGAACCTTGAGGATAGGCCCAACAACAGAAATTAGTGAAGAAGGCTCTGGAATAATGTAAATAATCTATAAATAGAAAGGAGAAAGGAGGAATAGAGGAAGAAAAATTTTGAAGTGTAATGAAATTCTGTCAAATTAGAGAGAGAAAATTCATGCATCTTCAATGGCGCCATCTGTGGGAACCGAAGAGGATTGGTTAATGATTCACTCAGATTGATTTGATCTAGTAGTGTAGCACTTGAGGACGAAGCCTGATCGTTCAAGGCAGAATTGAGGTCGGTAAAATTGACATCGGAGAAATCGGTGTTTGATCTAAGCAGTTTAGCTTTGTGCTTGTTTTGGAGAATTGAGCGGTCAAGATTCGCTGAAATTGCCGAATTTAGCAAGTTCGTTGCCAGAGCAATTCAGATCTGGTTAATCATGATCAATGTGCAGCTGCACTAGAATCTAGATCTAGAGCGTCAGCATTGGCAAAACTCAGATCTGATCAGAAATTTACGGTTGATGACTTTGCTACAATCCAGAATGATGATTGGAGAAGAGAATTCGAATCCAGTGGAGAATAACCAGCAGATGAAGCTTGACGAACTGATGAACATGATCGAGGCACTGAGAAAAGAAAATGCAAAGTTAAGAGCTGGAATGGAACGTCGAGAGGTTCCGGTTGCGACGCGACCGCCTCCGATAGATGGAAGAGGCGTGCAACCTGATGACGCACATCAAGGTGAGCAAGAAGGAGATAACCACGTCAATCTCCACTGCGAGGAGGTTAGGATGGAGAATATACCGCCAAACGCTCGTCGAGCTGAGGATCGAGAAGGATTTGTACATCTCGATCCTCATCGTGAACATATCAGGCGAGATGACAATACAGCTCTCAATCGGCATCAGGAAAGGCATAATTGTGAGCAGGATATGGAGTTTGATTGTCACAAGGTTAATTCACCGTGGTTCACGGAGGAAAGGTCGATCGATCCACCTTATCGGCCTTCAATGGCCACATACGATTATAAGAGTTCGGAAAGAAGATCTACAGACCAAAGAGTTGTCACAAGGTTTGAAAGAGAGAATAAAGTCCCCCGTTCGGCAGCACGGACGGTTGATTCGCCCTTCACCGATGAGATCCTGAATGCTCCGAGCCCGAGGAAGTTTTCCATGCCTATTTTTATTCTGTTCGACGGAACGACCGATCCGATTAATCAAGTCTATCACATTCAGTTGAAGATGGCACTGAACACAGAAAATGATCCTTTGATGTGCAAGTGTTTTCCTACAAGCTTAGCTGGACCGACGCTCAATTGGTTTAAGAACCTACCGAGGGGCTCGGTAGACAGCTTCCATAGCTTGTGTGATCGGTTCATAAGCCAATACTATGGGAATAAGCGCCTGGCAAAAGATATCTCCAGCTTGTTCACCATGAAACAACATAACGATGAGTGTCTCCAAGCTTTCCTTACTAGGTTTAATCTAACCAAAAGCATGGTGATAGAGTGCCATCCTTCCACAATAGTTCAGGGGTTCAAGTTAGCTATGACCCGAGGGACACCGTTCTATACCAGTCTGGTGGTAAACACGCCCAAGACAATGGACGAGCTGAATGAGAGGGCTAATGGTTTCGTACGCCTGGAAGAGGAAGAAGCAGCTAACGCTAGGAAGACGTCCATGATCTCCACGGAAGAGAAGTCTAAAGCGAAAATACGGCAGAAGTAAGCTCCTATGCAACGTTAGACCTCCTGGAAGGCAGAGAAGAGGCCTAGAGAGGATGACCTGATTACTCCACTCAAAGTCATACTCGCAAGGCTATACCAAGAGAACAAAGATAAGTTTCGCCCTCCCTTACCAATTAGACAACCGCTTGAGCAGCGGGATCAATCTACACATTGTGCTTTCCATAGTGATTTTGGTTATCAGACTAATGAATGTATGAACTTAAGGAGACAAGTGGAGATGCTGATTGCTAGGGGAGAGTTTGCAGGGTATGTTCAAGGACCGGCGCAAGAGCAAAATTGTCCAGTTGAGCAGGTCAAGAGAAACCAAAAACTGAACCACCATAACGCTCAGCCTGTACGGATTATCAACGCAATCCATGGCCGACCCGAGCAAACTGTAGAATCTGAGGAATTGCTCCGAACACGCCTTTGCCAAGCGCAAATGAAGAGGCGAGTAGGCAGTGTCAACACCCTGCACCAACAGAGTTCGGTCGTGCAGATACGGTTCGATAGGACAGACCTGATGCGAGTTCAGATTCCGCATGAGGATCCCTTGGTTGTCAGTTTGACAGTGACAGAATGCTTGGTACGCAGAGTGCTTGTCGATCCGGGTAGCAGTGCGAATATCATGCCTAGAGTCATTTTTGATCGGCTTGAAATTAAGCCGGAGAAGCTCAAGTCTACTAGAAATCCGTTGTTGGGGTTTGATGGCAAACGAGTCGAACCGATCGGCACAGTGGAATTGGTGGTCTAAGCAGCTGAGAGGGACTTGGTAGAAAGTTTTGTGGTGGTGGAGATCTATCCCTCCTATAATTTGTTGATGGGGAGAGGATGGATCCATAGGGTACAAGGAGTCCCCTCAACCCTACATCAAGTGATGAGGTGCCTATGCCCAGACGGGAGCAAGGTGATTGATATCCATGGGGATCAGGTTGCAGCAAAGGAATGCCATTCAGTGACCCTGAGGGCCGCAGACAAGGGCAAGGCTCCCATCTAATCAGTTGATGCCTAATAACAATTATGTAATGACCCGGTCTTTTTCCTCCTTTTCCATTTTCGACGATTTTCTTTTTTCGTCTTTTTCTTATTTTGTCTTTTCCTTTTTTCGTCTTTTAGTCGTTTTTCATTTTTCCTTGCATTACCTCACTTATTGTGCTCGGATTTCATTCCAATTTTGCATGCATTCATGATATTTGATTTCCATGACATTGGTATTTTTACTTTTCTTGAAAAGCATGCTAGATTAGTATTTTTCTTGTAAAGGGCATGAATGCATACTTTAGTGTAATTATTTATAACTTTTGGGGTTTTAGTGTAATTATGTAAAATAATTATTTTTTGTTTTGGGGACCTTTTTGCGATTTATTTTGGAAGATATTTTGAAAAAGGACCATTTTGTAATTTTTGAAAAGTGTGATAAGTGTCACACTCTCATGGAGCCATTTGTTGGTATTTAGGTGAAGAGACTTGACACCATGACTTCTTGACATTTGGTGGGTGGAGATTCATCCATGTGTTGGCCTTAGATTGGTGCACATGTAACCATTGATTGTTGACAAGTGTGGGTCTAGGATTAAGTCTTGGAAGAGACATTGGATTGCTGACAAGTGTAAGCTCAAGATTTAGTCTTGCATGTGTGTGTGTGAGAGGTAGTGTAAGAGCACATAGTGAGTGGAGGTTTTCTAGATACTCCACTCACCAATTTCACCTTCTCCTTCATCTTTTACACTTGTTCTTCACAACCCTAGCAAAGACTCCATTAGAGGAAAGCTTAGTGTAGAACTTTGACTTCACATTTGGCACTCTTCCACTCACCCTAGACCTTTGACCTTAGGAGAGAAAAGATTCCTTTCACTCTCCTCTTCAAGAATCCTAACCTTGTTTTTCATTTTGTGCTTGATAGCTTGGATTATAGAGATTCAATTCTCTATTAAGGTAGGGGTGGTAGCATGTTTATATTCTAAGTATTTTATAGTCGTTATGGTTTAAATCAATAAACCCTAAGTCAAGAAGTGAAGGTTTCCTATAATATGCAATACTATCATATCAAAAGCATGTACACAATATATATTCATAAGCATGTATGATATGTGTAAACCATGTGTAGGAGGATTATATAATTTAGTAGCATGCTAAATTCTAGAAATTTCACATGTGTTAGTGATGTGGGACACTTGTAGAATTATTGATATTATATGCAATCTCTATTGATATGAATTGCTATATTTGTTGTTACAATAATTCTATGCCCTTGTGAATTACTAATTGTAATTATTTAGGAGCTTATTGCTATGATGTTGATAATTAGTATATAGAGCTTGTTATTGAGGCATGACTTGAATTGATAAATTTATGATATTGTATTGTGCATAATATCATGATGTGAATTTGTTATTTGGCATGCCATTCTAGATTTGGAACCCTAAGACATGGTTTGTATGGTTTCAAAATACTTGTGTATGGAAGGTGGTTTGTATGCCTTATTATATATATGTAAGTTTTGAACTTAATATATATTTTGGAATCTCTTGGGATGTTGTTACATGTGACATGGCTAAAGTTTGGCTTTAGTGCGGGAGGTATGAGTTCTCCCCAATAGAGATAGTGCACACTAGGGTGGTCTTCCCAGTGGGTTAATGCCCAGAATAACCGTATTGATCTTGGTTAAGTTCGAGACGTGATGTCCAAGTCTTCCATTACTTGTTTTCGTATTAAATTTTAAGTTGACAACCAATGCTTAATTGTAGCTTGAAATTCTTGTTATTGGCGAATTGATGTTGTTGAGTACATTGATAATTATTTGTGTTGCTAAAGAATCATTTAAGTTAGTTTAAGATGATCCCTTAGAACACCTCGAACATAGACGTTAAGTGGAATGCTCCCTTGTATTCGTCTATATTGATCTTGCAATGATATTGAAACTTTAGGGTATACGCATATGCTTCTCCTACGAATAACTTGATTACTCACCTCAGTGGTTTGTGTTGTTTTTCAGGTAAGGAGACCATGTTCATGGATGCTCATTATCCTTGAAACTTTTGAGCTATTTGAAGCATTTTTGTATATTAACATGCAAGTGTTTAACATGACTTGACTTTTGATATCATATTTTGAATGCCATGGGTGTATGGTACTTTTGGAGCTTTAGTAACTTTCTTGATATGTAATAACACTCAAATATTTGCTTTTGACATTTTAAGTATGTATGTAAAGAGGCCAAGGGCCAAACATGTCTATTTTTGTACTTAGACACTTTTTGTATCAAAGTTTTGCTTTAAATCTCTTTTAATCAAAATTTGAGGTTTGAGAGGTCAAAATCTTGTAAATGATGTGTATGAGGCCATGGGCCATTATTTTGTACTCAAATATCCATAGCAAAGATGTTAGCATGTTCACATATCCAATTTTCATTGAGCAATCAGTTTTGTGCATTCATTTCGAATTAAAGCATCATGGGATTCAAATTGAAGTGGAACTTTAGCACCTTCAGCAGATAGCAAGGTCAGCAGCAGGTTTTTGAGGTGTTTCGGTCGACCAAAACTCCATTTCGGTCGACTGATGGTTAATGGTTTGGTATTTGTACAGTAATCTCACATTCTAGTAGCCAAAAACACTGTTCAAGGGTCATTTCGGTCGACCGAACCTTTATTTTGGTCTACCGAAGCAATTGGAACCTCTTCTTCATGATTTCAGGTCTTAGCATCTCCATTTTGGTCATCCAAAACTTCATTTCGGTCGACCGAAATAGCTTAATCCTAAGCCTAGTCTCTGTGGAGTTCCAGCACTAATCATCCGACTTCAACGGGTCATAACTTCATCGTTTCTAATCCAAATCCTAAACTCAAGGATTTTGAGTCAGCTTTCCAATGGTACCAATCCCATTCTCAAATTTCAAATATAGTGGGAGTTATGTATGTTTTAATGAAGTAGTGTCAGTTTTCACTTCAACCGGGACGGGGCATTTTGTGGGATTCTTGGCCAATGTTCACGGAACCTCTTGGAATGTTTCAAAATAATTAGATTAGGTTGTATTACCTTGTTTGACTTATTTAGAGTCAAGTTTCTCCTTTCAATAGTGAATTGACCTTTTTGCCCCTTGGATAGCAAATTTTGTCCTTTTTGACCTTTGTTTCCGTTTTTGTCCTCTTTAAGTTCCGTGACCTCATGGAGGGTCACATTTATGTCTTAGGAGTGACTCATATCTCTAGAGACCTTGGTTTACCTTTAGCTTCGGCAATTCAGATTCGTTATCGGATCACTTTCGGTTCATCACTGACGCACCGGGTTGAAAAACTTGGGCCGTTACAAATTACAGGAACCACCCCTCGTCATGAGTAGGGAGGAGGAGTCCACGATGCTGACCGAAGAGCCTCTGGATGAAGTTCAAATTGATCATTTGAGGCCAGACCGAACCACAAAAGTAGGATTGCGACTTTCAGATGAGGAAAAACCCCAGTTAATTGATTTCCTTTCTCAAAATGCAGATGTGTTCGCTTGGAGCCATTCAGACATGCCAGGGATCGACCCTTCTGTCTTTTGTCACTCCCTTAATGTTGATTCGAACGTTAGGCTTGTGAAGCAGAAGTAGAAGTAGAGGAGGTTCGCCCCGGAACGCAACCAAATCATTGCTGAGGAGGTAAACCGATTGTTAGAGGCTGGGTTCATTCGAGAAGTACAATACCCGAGCTGGTTGTCAAATGTGGTTGTAGTACAGAAGAAGAATGAAAAATGGGGAGTTTGTATTGACTTCATCAATCTAAATAAGGCCTGCCCGAAGGATAGCTTTCCACTTCCGAAGATTGATCAAATGGTGGACGCTACAACAGGATATGAGCAGTTAACTTTTCTTGATGCTTATTTAGGCTATAATCAAATTCCTATGGATCCGAACGATGAAGAAAAGACTTTTTTTTATCACCGAACGAGGGATCTACTGTTACAAGGTCATGCCGTTCGGATTGAAAAATGCTGGAGTTACGTACCAAAGGTTGGTTAGTAAAATTTTTAAAGAGCAAATGGGCGAAACAGTGGAGGCATACATTGACGATATGGTGGTAAAGAGCAAGCAGAAGGGACATCACTTGAAGCATTTGCAAGAAGTGTTTAATGTATTAAAAAGGTATGGAATGAGGTTAAATCCGACAAAGTGCTCGTTCGGCGTGGGATCAGGGCAATTCCTTGGCCATGTGTTCAACAACAGAGGGATTGAGATCAGCCCAACCCAAGCAGAAGCCCTGCTTAACAATACAGAACCGTGCACTATTAAGGAAGTTTAGGCTCTTACCGGGGGCATAGCGACATTAAGTCGGTTTATTTCTAAGTTATCTGATCGGTGCAAACCATTCTTTGATATAATTAGAGGTCACAGAAAACAGTCCTGGGGGAATGAGCAGAGGCAGGTACTGACCAATCTGAAAGAATATATGCGGAACCCACCAGTTTTGAATGCCCTAGAGCCAGGTGAAAAACTCTTCTTGAGTCCATCTTGATTAGTTTTCATTGTCCTTCCAGTGGTGTGCTCGGTGGTACTTGAATCCATACTTTTAGAAATGTCTACTTTGCCCCTAGGGGCTTAATAGTTATTTTTTTTGATCTTTTGCCTTCATACTTTGTTTCTTTGGGTTCCATGACCTCATGGAAGGTCATTTTAGGGTCTTAGAGGTGTGTTGTGTCTTGGGAGACCATTGTCTTGTTTCTTGCTTCTGCATCTGGATCCGTTATCGGGTCAATCTTCGGTTCATCACTGACGTACTG